GGGGTGGCCAAGATGCCCCCCCCCCCGCCAATCCTCTGGAGAAAGGCGGGTCTCTTTAGGACTGTCACCAACGAGCACGAGCAAGAGACTGGACAGGCTGGGCCCCAAGCCAGTAAAGGCAAAGGAACCCTGAAGACGGACAAAATGGAGAGCCACTAGAGGGCGAGCTACCAAATACAGGGGGCGGTACACTGCTGACGGGCATATGTCTCAACCAATAATATCTCGACACCCCATGACCCCGCCTTTTGACTCATAAACATCTAATCAGGTGAGTGGTAGAGGCGGGTCAAAGTGAAACTTTAACCAGTACTGAGAAAATCCGGTACTTGACTGGCAGGCAAGGCGGGGTTGAAACAAGCCTTAGGAAGGCCGCTACTGACCTTCGCCCCTCCCACTGGATTTGGCGGGGGCTGACTCGACTGCCCCGCCCTCTGTAACAAATTCGCGGGCGCAAAGGGAAATAACTCTCTCTGGGACCTGGAGCCTGAGAATTTAAGTAAGCCTCACGTCAGTGTTTCCTCCTAGTGAGGCTGCAGAAGGCAGGAGTGTTTTGGGTGACTTGGGCGGTTTGGGATGTTTTTTGGTCAAATAAAACGATGGCAACTACAAGTAGTAGCTTGGATATGCTGTAGCCCCTTCATATTAATTTTTCATGTAGACAATATTTTTCCAGGTAAATGTCAATGAAAGTTTTCCCAGAAAACTTTGCTGTTTGTGATATACAACAGAAAGGAAATACAGCGAATTTACTGGGAAGTCCAGTGTCGCGGTGAAATCCCTTAAAGTCCATTTACAACTGATTGCTATTCTTTAGCTCTTTCTTCCTAACACTGAAATTCTGAAACTGATGCTGTGGCTTTATGTGCGTGGGTGTGTGTGTTGGTGGGAGTAAAGGAGTTCGTTGGTTTGTGGGGAAAATGAAGTAGGAAATACATAGGCTTCAGTTTCTGCTATAAAATGTGGACAGTAATACCCATTTTGCTCACCTGCAGCACAACTGCAGCTGCATCACAGAGACCAAAATGGAGTGGGGTGGGTAGCCCTGCATGAAGATTCTGAACCGAGGAGTCTGAAACCAATTATCACATTTACACATTCATATTCTCTCTCACACCATTCTTTCTTCTTTCCTTTTATTTATTTAATTCCATTTGTTATTATTATTTTTCTTTTTAAAAATTATTTGATTTAACTTTATTTATTCATTCTTTTATTTATTTCAATTTGACCAGAGTGGGATAGAGTGAGAGACTCCAGAGGGAGAGAGAGAGAAAGCAAACCACCAGGTCCGGGACTCGAACTGCAGTTGGCCATGTGGGAGTCTAGCACCCTTAACCACCAAGCCACCTACCAGCCCCAGTTATTATTATTTTTCAATTTGACCAGACAAAGAGAAAGGGAAAATGAGAAAGCAAGCTGCCAGGTCTGGGACTTGAACCATAGTCAGCCATGTGGGAATCCAGCACCTTTAACAACTGTGCCACCTGCCGGTCCCTCACATCATTCTTTCAGTAAATAAATAAGTGAAAGAAGGAAAGAAATGTGGCCCAGTGGATGGTGCAGTGGTTAAGGCAGCTGGATTCTGCAAAGCCAGACTGTGCAGTTTGACTCCAAGATCTGGTGTCTGGGAAAATATGCTGGGTGTGTGTGTGTACATGTCCAAAATCCCAAGAGGAAAATCAGAGAAGGAACTGTGTGGCCATCTTCCCTGGGAGGAGGGTGATTTCTCATTCACTCCCTCTCTGTCGCTGGTGAGTGCATGCATCCCATAGCAAAAATTAAACAAACAAAGAAGGAAAGAGTTGAACTATAAAACTGGGAACATCTTTTTTTTTTTTAATGAAGTACAAACTAAGTTACAAATAATGTTAATAGGAAGAACACTCAAGGACAAGGGGTAAAAGAAGGAAGACTAAATCATAAAAAGGAAAAAAAAACTTTTAAAACATTCGCATTACAAAATCCCAAGGTGCACATGGCAACAAATCCACCCTCTCTGACAAAAAAAAAAAAACCTACTATAACCTGAAATATAAATATAATTGTTCATCCTTCTTTTAAAGAAAAATGTTTTCCCAACCCCCTCACCCAGTCACAGCCCTGAAAATGTGTCTGCATTCTCAGAATGATGTCTAAATCTTAACTTCCACTCCTATAGGTGGGGGAGGGGGGGCAGACTTCACAGGAATGGGAACAGGGATCCCTGACAACTGTAGAGCTAAGAATTCTAAAAGGAAGAGAAAACCTCAAACTTTATCACTCAAACATGCCACGTAAGGCCACGGTGAAGCAATAGATTGGAATGAAGTATAATCCCTGTCCCAGAACCTCCCAGATTCCTCTTGCCCATAGAAGGGACAGGCAAGTGAATGGGGGGCCCTCGTTTTCTTCTGTAGCCCCACTGGGCTGAGTCTTCAGTCTCACAGTCTGTTCACAGTGAGGTGAAACACTAAAAGTCACATAAACTGACTGGATCTATTTTAACCTAATCCTCTAAAGCAGACACCTCCCTTTGGTTTTGTTTCCCCTGGTTCTCAAAAGTTCTGATTTAGCTCCCTGCTATCCATGGGACTTTAGGAAAACAGTAGCAGCAGGAGGCTTGATGTCCCCATCCTCCCAAACACAATAATAATTATGGGGCATTCAGAGATGGTAAATCCCACCTGGGGGGAGAACAGTCAAGATTTTTTTGTTTGTTTTAATATCAATCCTCCTCAGCAATGACTAAGAGGACAGAGAGAGGGTAGTGGAGGCTGACTTAAGTGCATCTAATACTGAAACGTCCTTTCATATTCACCTGTTGCTCCCCTCCGTTCTATATCCCCAGAGTTGGTTTGCCAACAGAGCAGGCAAGTGTTAAGGCAGCCAGACAAGACCAGAAGGCCCACCTGAGTCCAGGTAGCCCAGAGACAAGCCAGGTCAAGCTGGCACTGGAGAAGAGGGTGAGACTGGGGGTGGGGGCTTGGGGAAGGACATCAGAGTCGCAGATGAGGTACTGGCTTGGTCACATCCTGGAAGAAAGGGTGAGCCAAAGCTGCCTTTGCAGAAATCCGCTTGTTGGGGTCGTAGTGTAACATTTGCTGGAGGGAGAGATGTATGGTGACTTCAGAGATGTGACAGTGGACTAACAGGGCAGCACATGTTCCCGGAAATCAGGAAACCAGAACTCCTTTTACACAAGGTAGGGTTCTTAATTCCCTCGGCCCATATCTGAACCAACATGCCAACAGGAAGAGAGAAACAGTGTTTAAGGAGATACTGAGACCCAGAGTTCAGAGTCTCATCCTTCCTTCACCCTGGTAAAGCCCTGCCTTAGGGAAATCAATGAGGGGAAACTGGTGCCCACTCCCCACTCTCACCGATAATAAGCTCCGTCCATCTTCATCCAGGGGAGGCACGACTTTGCTAAAATCTTGCCGGGCCCACTTGGGGAAACTTGGCTTATAATCAGGCATAGAAGTAACTCCTGGCCAAACCACCTCATCTGGGGTTCCCAAAGTCCGAAAGATCCGGAAGAGTTGATCAATCTCAGAATCTCCAGGAAACAGGGCCCTGCGGGTCACCTGAAAATGGGGAGAGGAAAGGCCAAGCCCCACATTGACGTCAGTCAAAACTATCCCCTCAACAGTGGAGGTTCCCACAGGCAATGGAAGGTCAGCAGGGTCCCATGACTCCCTCCCAGGGTCTTTCATGGGGTAGTCACACAGAGCCTGAGACAATGAAGTCCCTTTATCTGTCTCCTCACCCCCTCCTTCCTTCCCCCAACATGGCTTTGTAGCACCCCAAGGCTGGGTGGGGCTGGGAGGGGGTGAATAATGTCTGGGGTGCCACTGACATGTAGCAAAGGGATCCCAAGCCACTCACGGGGTTTGGGGTAGACACTGCGGTCATCCCCCCTCCTTGTGATGCAGCCACTTCTAGATAGGAGCACAGCGGGCAGAGACTGTGTCTTCCATTTCTTCTGTGTTCCCCACAGCACCTAGCATGGTGCTGGGCACACACTAGGTGCTTAACAAATATTTTTTGATGAATTGAGAGAGGAATATGGGCAATTGTAAGGTAATGCACTGGGGATATATGCACATTATATATATATGTGTATATATATATATATATATATAGTATATATATAGGATAATGGTCTCTAAGCCCCCAGTTACAATCTAGATAAAGGACCATAAGACACACTGCTGATTTGTCTTGAAGATACAGCCTACTCTACTGTTGTATTAAAGGGTATAGGAGCCTCCACATAAGGTTAGGCCTCAAGGACTCTTCAATCTGAGGTTGAGGGGGGACATGACGCAAGTCTACAACTTAAATTAAGGTGTGGGTAAAAGTGGCTTCACTACATTACTGGCACCCTACAAAAAGGTCTACAGGCCAAATGAAGAAGGACTCATTCTACCAGACTAAAGCCAAGAGAGCTGCAGACATGACTTAGCTCATTTCAGGGATAAGACATACATACTGGGTGCTTAGGCTGTGCAAGGATATCCTAACATCGTGGTTGATATCAGTTCTATTTCATCCCTACCATCTCCCTTAAGGCTACTCTGGAACCCTGTGATAGAAGGGCCATAGGTCCAGGCCAAGAAATAGTTCCGTTGTTTTGGGATGTAGGAAGGAATGGGCTAGATGGAACTTGGACAAGCCCCCATACCATCTCAGCAAAGATGCAACCCAGGCTCCAGATGTCCACAGCTGTGGAGTAGTATTTGCATCCCAAAAGAATTTCAGGTGCTCGGTACCACAGGGTCACCACCTAGGAGGTAAGAGTAGGAATTGAAAGGAGTTTGTGAGGATTTCCACATCTCAGCTGTCAATACTACTCTGTGCCTTCCCCCCAACCCCATTTTCTCCTAAGAGAAATGACTACACACTTCTTAGCCCTGAGTTAGCCTAGTTTATAACTCTGCAGTTCATGTTTTCCAAGCCTACAATTTTGGACCTTACTGGAAAACTTGAGACAGTTATTTATAATTTTCCCCCTTATTCATGATAGAGCACACACACTAAGAGAGAGAGAGGGAGAGAGATGGGCACCCTCCAAAGGTTCTGGTCATGCTATGATCCCTTCTTCCAGTCCTCCCGTCTGTCAGATCGCAGGCTCACACATGTGCCCAGCCTGTTTCAGGCTGACCGAGCTGGAGACTTGAATCACAGCTGCCATGTGGGATCTGGCTTCTCTCGAGCAGCACTTTACTGCTGTGCCATAGAGCCAGCCCAGTAGTAATTTTCATTATTTTCTACCTGAAGGCTCCTTAGGGTGTCAGAGAGTTCCATCTACTAAGAAAGAAACTGTTGGCCAGATATCTTCAGTAACTTTGTCAGTGTCCTTGTTAACGTCTCCCAGGAAGCTCAGAGAAGAGAAGCATGAAGGGACTCACCTCATGGGTGTAAGTACGAACAGGGACTCCAAAGGCTCTGGCTAGTCCAAAATCTGCTAGCTTGATGGCCCCCTCTGTGTTGATAAGCAGATTCTGGGGCTTAAGATCCCGGTGCAGGACCCGATGAGAATGGCAGAAAGCTAGGCCCTGAAGAAGCTGGAACAGATAGCTCTGGCAAGGGAGAGAGAGAGGACTGCGTTTCTCCATCACGGTCAGCATGTAGGGTTTGCTCTTTGCCCCAAGAGCTCTCCTAAAGCCTTTACTAAGTTGGATTACATATTTACAAGCTATTTCTCCCAATGGATTGTCCCAATGAGGATAAAGACCAAGTCTTACTTAGTTTCGTGTCTTTCTCCGTTGACTGTGCTTAGCAATGTGCATTTAATAAACCTTTACTGGTGAACTGAAAGTAGCTCTGAGAGTAGCTCAGCAAGCCCTAAAACAGACCTAAGAGGCGGGAGGAATTTTTTGAAGACATCTACAAAATACCATCAAATCCCATTTATCTGAGTTTCATCTGACCTCCTACCTAAACTACTTGGTTGACTCATTAGAGTTTCAACTTTGATTCTTCAGCCCAACCCTTGGGTTAATGAGTATAATGAGCA